TTTTCTCGGAGGAATGATGAATTTCTGAACCCAGCTCCCATGTGTCTCCCTACAGTCTAACCTCACGTCAGTCCCTTTACCTTTGTGCCCTAGCGTCTTCCTTTTAGTAAGGGCTTCTTTTAAAAAGGGGCTGGGTGGTATAGAATCTCATGGAAACTTCCAGATGTGTGTGTGTGTGTGTGTGTATACACTCACATATATGATTTATTAGAGTGGCTCACAGGCCATGGTCCAGCTAGTCCAACGACGGCCGTCTCTCAACGGAAAGTCCAGGAATCCCACAGTCGTTCAGTCCACGAGACAGCTGTCTCAGCTGCTCTTCAGTGTGCATCGCTGGAATCCCAAAGAAGCAGGCTGTGATGGCAGAGAAGGAAGGCCTCAGCAGCAGGATAGATGAACTTGCCAGTGAGAATGAGGGCAAGCAGGTGAAATGCGGAAGCCTCTTTCTTCCCTGTCTTTTATACAGGCTGCTATGAGAAGTGTGGTCCAGATTTGGGGTGTCTTCCGACCGGAAATAATCCAATTAACTAAAAATTCCTCAGAGGTGTGTCCAGTTGCTGGATTTCAGTTAATTCCAGATGCGGTCAAGTTAACAACACAGAGCCTTTGGGACCACTGCTCACCACTGACACTTGTGCTAGTTTTTACTGTGTTTTAGAGCATCTCCCAGAGACTTTGGAGCTTGTTATTCTGATTACAATCACCCTAAACTGTTTCCCAGGGTTAAAACACTGGGTAGGCCAGCTGTTGCGGCATCAGGCCAGCGGCTGGATGGTAACAATGCTGCAGGACTCAGCAAACTACGGTAATGAGCGATGATGACACAATAGGAAAGGATGAAAATGTGCAAGAAGCTGTAAGAGGATGAAATACACAAGGAGGATGAACTCTACTGTGAACTACACCCGAAAGAGGTCGCTAGGAAAGAGAGAAGAACGGACAAGGAAGTGATCTGTAGCTGCCATCTGTGGATGCACTTGGTCTTGGTAGTTTTATGAAGTTGGTTCCACTGAATCACGGTTTAAGAATTATTTGCTCTTCAAATGTCTTAATAAATAGCTCATAGAATATACAGTTATCTAAAATGCTTTCATTATACTGACTTTCATCCACCTTGCTTTTTTCATGAACAATATGTAGTACTTTGGGAAGTACCAGGATAAAGTGTTTTGTCCACTGGTGCGATGCTTACTCACAACTTGCCCTTCTCCCCAAACAAGGTCTTGCTAAGTACTCAATCTGGTCTCGAACTCCTGATTCTCCTCTATCAGCTTCCAGAGTGCTGGGATAGCAAACAAGGGTCAGTGCACACAACAAACAGCAAGCATTTGTTGAGTCTGTGTTGGGAACCCAGCAACCTCCTGAGCTTTAGGTAGGCTTGGTGAACCAGACCCTGTCACAGCTCTCAGGTGCTCGGCCTTTACCAGGGCCAGGTGCCAAGTGCCAATCAAATTATGGAAAACATAACTGCATACTGCATTTGCAACACATGAGCCAATAAGATACGTGCTGCAATAAAAGTAAATTTATTTGTTTGTTTTAGGGACATGTCTTCAAGCAAGAAATAGTTGAGCTAAGATCTTCAAAGGAAGATGAGTCAAAGACATGATGAGGCTGTCTGAACAAAGAAAAGCATGATGGAAATTTTGTGTCTCTTTTCAACACGGCCAATGACCTCCTCAAACAACGAAGCTACAATGGAAAAACCTTAAGTTATCTTTATTTTCAACCCGGGAATGGAGCAACACTTCATTCCATAAACTAAGCCGAGTGTTTCAGTGGGCTGCAGAGAAGGTAGCCTTAGAGCTGGAGAGGCTGACCACTGAGCAGAAACAGTGAAAGCAGACTGGTCATTTCAAAGTTACCTTCTGCCAAAGGTGGGGGCAGAGAGACAGAGCAAAAGGAAGTAACCAGATTATTCATTTGGAAACACTAAGCATGTAGGACTGGAAGCGAGGGAGCAGCTAATTTGGGAAATTCCATTCTCTCTCATCTTCCTGACTTCTCAGGCCAGGTAACTACTTAGTTTCCGTTTGGATATGTGGAACATTGTGGCACATTGTGGCGGCACTGGTGGCCATTTTGGTTTTATTTTTTCTTTTTGTCTGATCTGGGGGTAGGGGGTGAGGCAGCACAACAGCTCGAGTCCAAAGCAATGGCTTCCTATAAGCTGTATTTAATAATCTCCAAATGATAAACGTAGTGGTCAATTAGTCCTCATGTCACTGGACCTAGAACATTTAACAAAATCACTTCAACTCTCTCTTCATTTTGTTTCTAGGACAACACATCGAGGGCTTCCCCTCTAGGCTGACTGCTCCTTCTGATCACACCTGTTGGTGACTTCAAGGGTAAACTTCAAGGAGTGTGCCTCCTTTGTGGAAAGCAACAACCATTGCTGCAGGAATTCCTGCAGCCAGTAGCCTTTAAGTTACCCTCCCACTTGGGCGGGGCCTCCTATGCTGTATATGCTGACGTCAAGTGTAGGTCTGCTTGCTCTCTTCTGGCTGCTGCATTTGGTTGCTGTTCCCTGTTCGAGCTGAGCATTGTGATCTGTGAGTCTACCCCTAAATAAATAACCCTCTATTATATTCCATTCTGAACTAGTGCGGGATTTCTTTTACACGTCCTTCTTCAAACCATTATCAAACACTACAAGAAACCTCAAACTGTATCTACAGCTGGGTCTTCCTTATTTCTCTTCCATATCCCAAGGCAAGTGGCCAATCTACTGACCTCTGCCCTCCCCCAAATACAAATGTGCACACTTTTCCATGACAGCAAGTGGCAATTCCTTCCTTTTGTTCCACTGTTTTGTGTCCTCTGAAACAAGATCTCAGCATGCCACCCCGGCTGCCTTTAAACTCCTGCCTTCACCTCCCCAGTAAAAGATGGCAGATGTACACCACATGGTACAGTCTCAATGGTCTTATTTTCAATTTGTTCTGTAACACATGTTCCTCTGAACCACTCCTTCAACATCCCCTCTGCTCACCCTTCTGTCTACCCTTAAAGCTTAGATGGAAGTAGGTCCCTCCTAAACAACGTTAACTACTGGGTGATCTTTAGAGCCTACAACAGTCAGTGACTTCAGGATTCCCTCCTTTATTTCTACTACAAATAGGATCTGTTGCTTCATCAACTATTCCAAAGCACATAAATTAACTTGCAGAAAAGTAACTGGAAAAACCTACAAACAAAACAAAGCAAAACACAAATGGAGCTGGGGCAGTGGTGGCGCACACACCTTTAATCCCAGCACTCGGGAGGCAGAGGTAGGCAGATCTCTAGGAGTTTGAGGCCAGGCTGGTCTACAAGAGCTAGTTCCAAGACAGTTGGGGCTGATACACAGAGAATCCCCATCTTGAAAAACAAAAAACAAACAAACAAATACCACCCCAAAAGAAAAACATGGCCCCAGAAGGCCAATTGTGATGTTCTAGAGAACAAAAGGTTATTAAATGAGCTAATATGAAAATGGTTTAGAAAATTAAGTCCAACCAGAAAAAGGCACAGAAAACTCACATACACACCCCACCCTGTCCCAATGCAGACTCTTCCTGCCCACTTCTATATCCCCCCTAACCCCATAACAAAGCCCTTTAGGATCCCCTCAAATCTTGAGCCTAAAAGGTCCCTCTGCCGTCTCAATACCGCAGGCCTTTGAATATGGGGGATCCCACCCTGCAAGCTCATCTAACAACTGTTCAGAGGTGGCAGGCAACCAGCCTGTATGCTCCAGAACAAATCCTCCTCAGATAGAAAAAGTAACCTCGCCCCACCGCCCCCAACCAAGCACTCTTCATTCCTTGCCAATTGGTTGCTATCATTTCACACGCTATGTGTTCTACATCACTTATTTCCCGGCTCTTCTTAGAACTCAGGCTCTATGACAGGAGGGGTATACTGTGCTCACTGATGTCCTATTGCACGGAAGGCACTCAGCACATTCTAGCGGGCTGAAGCCTCAGTGCTGTCCTTTTGGTCTTTGTCTCCCTTGGGGTGACGACTTCCAAGGCCTGGCTAAATGTTCCTCTCGCCACCACAACAGTGTCATAACTGTATATTTACACATTAGATTTCTAATAAGATGAGGGCTATCTTTGTCACTGTTGGACATACTCAAGGCCCAATGAGTTTTTTTTTCTTTTTGTTATGTTTGTTGATTTAGTTTATGTATGACTGTACTGTTGGTGTATGCAGGCCTGTGCACCATGTGTATGACTGGTGTCTACTGAGGTGAGAAGATCCTCGGGACCTAGAGTTATGGATGGTTGTGAGCTGCCACGTGGGAGCTGAGAATTGAACCCAGGTCCTCTGTAAGAACAAGTGTTCTAAACTGCTGAGCCATCTCCCTAGTCCCTGGTTAATATTTTATGACTAAATTTACTCTGCAAACAATTAAAATCTAATCCGATTACCGTGTTATTAAAAACCTTCCAATCCTGAGTTTTCTCAGGTATAATGACTTCAAAACACCTTTAGAGAAGTAAAAGAATTTGGGAGGTTTTTATACAGAACCTTTTCAAAGCTCATTAGACTTCAAACCTAAAAACACTACGAGTTCTTTCAGTCGCACATAAAACGGACTTGCTTTCAAAGCTCTTCTTCGGATTTTATTTGACAGAGGAAATACAGCCCAAAACGAACCCCTGTAAGAGCAAAGGTGCAATTGCCCTGCATAGGGATCCCTAATCCATCCAGCACTGTTTCACACGAAAGAGGCCAGCGGAAAAGCAGCGTGGAGCCATCCCAGTTCGTCTGGCTTTACTGTGCTCCTCGACCTTTCAGACAGTGATCGCCAAATCCTTGCCTCAAGTCATCCACCAAAATGGGGATGGTGGGGCACCTGCACCTCTCTCCCCCCGCAAGCCACTGAGGAAAGGGCCTGGACTGAAAGGCAGCAATCCCAGATGGCTGCGGCTCCAGAATTTCAGAGGAAATGGAGGAAGGAAAAACATTTTCAATGAACAGGTCACAGCCAAGCCTACCAAGCTTACCAGATGGACGTTCCCAGTTAACCCTGGCCTCCTGAACCGTTGGTTCGCCGACAGCGACCTGAAGTGTTGCGGTGGCATCTGGGGGTTGTAGTTTCTGTCGCAAACAGCCGGCGTCGGTAGCATTACAACTACATTTCCCAAAAGCCAACGCAAAGACGCCCTGCCCACTGACTCTGGGGTCTGACGGTCACAATTTTTTAGATTAATCTTCAACTATATCCCATCATATTAGGGACACTATCAAGCCCTTTATTTGTTGTGGTTTTCTTGTGCGAGAAACATCTCCGGATATTTGTACACTCCTTACTTTTCCTTCCCTTTCTTCAAGGCCAGCGCCACCAAACGTCGGGAACGGAAATCACCGCGGAAGGCGCATGCGCCCCGCAGGGGCTCGCGCACGCGCAGCAGCCGGCATGGGTTGGCGGCGCGCGGTGGACTCGGGGTCCGGAGGTGCTCTGCCCGAGGGCGGGGCTCTTCCCTATGGCTGCTTGCGCGGGTCGCGTGTGCCTGGGCGGAGAGGCAGGCAGGGGGCAGGAGAGGCTCCCGGCGGTCCCGGGCGGGGACAGGGGAGGGGCTGGGGGTGAGGACCCTGTCCCCCCTCTCTGCTCCCGCCCTCTGGGCCGAGCCCCACCGACGGGGCTGGGCGAAGGGGCGGGCTCTGTGCCTCGGGCCCTGTGCTTCTGCAGCGCGGCCCGGTGCCCGAGGACGGCTGGGTCGTGGGGTGCCGTCCGGCGTGGCGGCGGTGGGCGAGGACAGAGGGATAGGAGAAGCAGCGGTGTATCCCGGGGCACGGGAGCCGGCAGGGTCGGGGACGCTGCCCTCCTTCGCCGCTGACACGGTGACCGGTGGACGCTGCTGCGGTCCCCGGAGCGGCGGAGCCTCGGGCCCCAGCAGTTAGGGGTGAGGGTCCATCGCCAACCCCGCCGGCGCCCGCCCGCTGCCCTGCCGAGGCGCTAGGAGGAGCCGAGGGGGGCGGAGACTGGTGTCGGAGGAGGGGCGGGGTGGGAACGTGCTGGAGAAGCGGCCGCTGCACAGACAAAAACCCCGAATGGCTGGAGAGCCTTCTACTGTTACCAGCCTTGTGGGGCCAAGCACGGATTTGACAGCTCAACAACGTGAGGATATCCGCTGACCCTGCGACACAGGGAACACTTCCCCGTGACTCCCTGTCCAGCTAACCGGCTCTGTAAGAGTGCAACTTTCCAACTTTGTTTTTTTTTTCAATCTCTGTCCAGAAGACTGCCCCTTCGTATAGGAAAGGGTGCAAGGGCGATCTGCCTTGCGGATCTATTTGAAAGCATCAACTTAAGAGGCACGTGTGGTTCCCAATGCCACCCAGACGCTTGTTTTCGTGACGACTGGATTTCTCTGACTTTCTTCTCTACGTTTCTCGGTTTAAAACAAGACAAACTGCTTTGGGGGAATGCTGAGAGACATCTGAAGGCTGCGAAAGGAAAGCTCCCGATTGTCATGGCTGAAGGCGAGAATGAAGTGAGGTGGGATGGACTGTGTAGCAGAGATCCGACTACTAGGGAGACAGCGCTGGAAAACATTAGGCAGGTCGTTTTGAGAAAAACCGAATACCTTCGTTCAATGAAAGAGACGCTTTATCGACCTCCGGACGGGCTTTCAAATGCTGTTTCTCTGGATGGGATGAATAAGCTCCTTGCTCATCTGCTTATGCTTTCTAAGAGGTGTCCCTTTAAAGACGTGAGAGAGAGAAGTGGGTTCATTCTGAGGAGCGTCGAGGTAAGAGCGTTATTAGAATAACTAGACGGTGACATTGAACTCGCAGCTATTCCCGTCGCTCTTGCTTCCAACAGGCAACGGGTTATTGTGTGAGCTCTTCGCTAGGCATCGGAGGGTTCTGTAAAACATGAATGTTGGGCCCATATTGAGCAGTGTAAACTGAAAACAGTTTTCAAAAAGAGATAAACGAGAGTTGTTTCTGTGGTGTTTTGGGCAGAAACGGAAATAATATATATGAAAGGTATAGTTAATTATAAGTCAAGTCTTTGTATTTCTTTTTGTTTGTTGCGAAGTGTAACCAGTGTACTTTTAACATTGTTTCAGTGTCCTGTGTGGAAAGTTTCTCATTGAAAGCCTCTAAAGTGAGAAATTGATATTAAATGTGTTATATTTATTCAAGGTAACTGGCAGATGGCAGACTAATTTTCTCTGGCTCTTCACAACAAAGACGGGTTGTTTAGAAAATTTCATTTCCTAAATGCATCCTAAAGCAGACCTAGAAAATAATAATAAAAGCCAGCCTAAGTCATAAGGAAGTCAACATGCTTAGGTTGCAAAGTTGGACCCGATGTCAGGTGTGTAGTAGCTTATGCTCAGCACGCTCAGGTTGAGACAAAAATAATGCTGCCAGAAGTTCAAGACCAGCCTGGCCACATGGTATATCAGTACCAGTTCAGTACATGGCTACATGGCATGACCCTGCCTGAAAAAGAAAAAGGAAAAGTTGAACCCAGGTAAGGCATTTGCTAGAAATACAGTGCTGTTCAGTTATTTTCTGTTTCCCCAAATTGTTTCTTTTGTCTTCTCACACTCAAGTTGTAAGTGCAGCAAGGTTTAAAGTATTATAATCTCCTGCCATGTTTTTCTACTCTCACTTTATCCTGTTTTATTAGGAGGTGTGTTAGAATTTGAAGGAGTGGGAGAAATGTTTGTAGAGTGATTGTGGATTACGATACGGCAGTTTTCTGTCGTGGCTTCAATTCAAATAATACAAAAGAAAATCAATCATCGATAAAATGCTGATCTTCAAAAGCGAAGATCTTGAACTATTCCTTACAAGCACTTTGGAATCAATTATTATAATTCATTTTACCAGCAAGGAATTAATTTTCCATGTATGTACATTTCATCCCTAAGGCATAAGAAGTTGCTTCTCTTAGATGTCCATATCGATCTTATAGCTATGTTTTAATAATGGAGTCATAACTGTACACATCAAATCCTGTCGTGGACTGTATGGAACTACATGGCACATAAGTTTTTAAGGTCCCCCCCCCCCCCCCAGTCTTTAGGGGTTTTTGCCCTTCCTCTTGTTACTCTACCTCACTTTGGTGTGTCTTTTGGCCTTTCATCTTGCTGGTTATATTTGCGTGGGAAACTAGCTAACAAAGTACTCGGGCTGTGGGGAGTACTGTGTCAAAGATCTGCTGCAGAACTAGAGTCAGAGCTGGGTCCAGATGCTTCCTTACTAATGTCCTGCCATAAGCTTGGACAAGTGCCCTGACTATAAAATCAGGTAAGAACACAGCCCTTGTGGGAGTGACATGGCATCGAAAGTGCTGTCCTAGCCAGTGAACGCACCTCTCCCCTTTCACAAGTGCAGTATATAGACCATGTAAAATAGTTTTGAGCCTAATTTAATCTGCAAAAGGATTCCGTGTTCTGTACTGTAGTGGCTTCCTATAGACTTACATTCCTTTCTCTGTTCTGCATCTATTATCTTTATTGCTGCCATTATTATAAGAGGTACTTGATTTATATTGTTCTGTAATCTCATATTGATATGCAAGTCTTCCCTGGAAGGGTTCTAAGTTCTCAAGAGCAATGGCTGGGACCTGGAAGCTACTAAATAAACATCCAATGGATAAACAAATGTATTTGCCTTCTTTCTGTCTCACATCAGTTTGCATAGATGAGATTTCCATTTTATGGAGCATTCATTCATGCATGCATTTGAGCAACGAATAGTGAACACCACAGTAAGAACGAGAGACTGGTGGTGACAGTTTGCATATTCTGCTGAAGGGAGACAGGCCATAAAGTAAATTAACATTTAATTTTATATAGTAAGGGAAGAGTTCCTTGAGGCAAACCCCTCAAGGAGAGATTTAGTATTCATTCATTCATTCCTTCCTTCCTTCATTCATTCATTTTGAGACAGGGTTTCCTGCCTCAGTCTGCCAGGTGCTAGTATTATGGACATACTCCAGTGCACTTCTCTTATGAATAATTATCCATACAGTGGGATTACTGCAGGGATCTAGACCTAGAAGATAGTTTGTATGAAGGCCTCATGGCAGGAGCAAGTGAGTGTGATTCAGGACGGCTGAGTTCACATGAGGAGAGCGCATGCCCTGAAGTTGTGCAGACCTAGCTTCAGTTCTTGATTGTCTGTGCAACTGTGAATCTGGTCCACACTGCCGTCCACTCTGGTTCCTTATCTGCAAAGTGGGGAGATGCTAGGAGTTCTTAGAAGAAGATGAAATAATGGCTGCAAAGCATGGCCCAGAGCCTAGCTCAGGACACCGTAATGGTAGAGACGTTTATTGTTCCCCGGCAGGATCTAGCCCGCAGAGGAACTGTAGGCAATTTTAAGGAGTGTAGACATTATCCCAGAACGATAGGGAGCCACTGAGGCTTTGAAGAAGGGTAACATGGTTGATGATGCTACAAGGATCATTCCAGAAGCAAGATGGAGAATGCATTTCCAGGCTCAGGAGTGGGTGTGTAATATCAGTTACAGGGCTGATCTCTGGCAGAAGCAATAGTGAACTGGGAAATGGGAGAAGAGGGCAAAGCAAATGAATTTGAATATAACGATGAGTTAGAATCCACAGGATATGGTATTTAAATTTAAGAAATGAAAATAAAGGCAAAATTTGTGATTTGCATTACTTAGTGAATGAATCATGTGATCATTCCTGAGACAGAAGACTGGCAGGGTCCATTTAGGAGAAACTTAGTTTTTGTGTTTTTTTTTTTTTTTTTTTTTCAGTCTGAGTGAAGTTAAGCTGTTTCTGAGGCATCCTCAAAGAAGTTGCTCATCCCTGGTTTGAGTGTCTGCTCCCCCACTGTAAGCCTTTCACTTCTCCAGACTGAACCCATCTGTCACCTTTCTATCCACCTACATAGCCACAGAGACATACATAGATCTGCCCTGCAAATCCGGCTGCATTGCTTTCCTGCCTAAAATCCATTATGATAGCCCATTGTCTTACATGTCTCATAGAAGCTGGAATTGTCTAACCTCCACTTCCCTCTGCCCACCTCATTGTTCACACTCTGGTATCAGTCTCCTGGGGGATTGAATACTAATTTGAATTAGTGCTCCATGGTGCTTTCTGTTATTCATTGGTAACACAGAAAAAGCGGAGTCACATCTAAGGTTGCTGATGATGCTCCTAAAGGCCTTGAGCTGCTTTGATCAGCTCAGAGGACTAGCCGCAAGAGAGAGCGATGAATTCAATCCCTAATGGCCACTAGACCTGTAAATCAGCATATTG